CGCACAGAGTTACCCTTGACCTACTTGTGTGGAAAACAATAAAAGTGTAGACTTTGCGCACAGAGTTACCCTTGACCTACTTGTGTGGAAAACAATAAAAGTGAAGACTTTGCGCACAGAGTTACCCTTGACCTACTTGTGTGGAAAACAATAAAAGTGAAGACTTTGCGCATAGAGTTACCCTTGACCTACTTGTGTGGAAAACAATAAAAGTGAAACTAACAAACTGTGCTATTCCTATTCTTCTTCTGGAGAAACGAAAGAGAGCTTCAAAACAAAGACTGCAGCGCCATCTGAACCAATGCGCGGACTTCTGCGGACACTTTTTTGGTAAAGTGAATTAGAGCTATCTTCTCATGAACGATCTTTGATCATAGAAAGTTGTCGATGGAACTATTGTACTCAAGTTTATGGGAGTCCCGGCTGCGGCAGCACTGCTACAGGGAACGGAAGGAAGGAGCCCAGGAAGCCATTCAGGTTAAAGGTTTCTCTACTTTGACTTCCAGGTCGTCGGGAACAATCGCGGCGGGGTTGTAGTGTGCTCTGAAACCTCCAGAAAACGACCCGACCCGACCCGACCCGATCCGTTCTCGCTAGTGAGCACCCCGTATTGTGTGCCCCATCCGTATGTCGTGTTTTACTATCGTATTCAAACTCTGCGCCCCCACTTTCCCCCCCCCAAAAAAAATTTTTTACTCGTTTATCCGATCTGCACTCTTTGCATAGCAGTCTGTCAAAATAATTTTTTGAGAAATACTGAACGTTTCAAAGAGATCTTCGTACTAAAAGTATTCTAAAATGTTAAGAATACAACCCCGTGGGTACAAAATGACCCCAGGGCGGACGGATAGGGTTAATATACTAAATGAGCCCAGGGCGAACAGATAGGGTTAATGTTGAAATAAACGTCAACAAAACCAACCTGAAGTCGAAACCTGACGTCACCGTTGCCGGCCTGTGACGTAATGTCCACCTCCAGAAGCCGGAACTCCCCGATGCCGTGTAGGATAAAGGTCCGGCCGTCCAGCGTGCTCAGGTGCGGGTCTCCGAACAACAAAGCTGCAACGGCAAAGGTCCAGTTATTTAACGGTTGATTTTGTTACGGCCTCATCGACCCAATAAGGTCATCATTGAGGAGGCACGTTTCCCATCCGGGCTGAGAGGTCTCCATCCCAGCAGACAGGCCACATCACAACAGACAGGCCACATCACAACAGACAGACCACATCACAGCAGACAGACCACATCTCAACAGACAGACCACATCACAGCAGACAGACCACATCCCAACAGACAGACCACATCCCAGCAGACAGACCACATCACAACAGACAGACCACATCACAACAGACAGACCACATCACAACAGACAGACCACATCACAACAGACAGAC